ATTTTGTCAATCTCATCAAATCAGAGATTTTGCCCATCGAATCTGAAAAGAGTTTAGTCAATCTACTGTAATCAGAGATGTTGTCAATCTACTGTAATCAGAGATTGGAGATTTTGCCAATCTAATCTGAAAAGAGATTTTGTCAATCTACCATAATCAGAGATTTTGTCAATCAAATCACTGTAATCAGAGATTTTGCCAATCTACTCGAAATGATTCTAAGCACATCATAGTTTGCCGATTAAATCTAAGTTCAGATTTGAATTTGCCAATATACTAGTAATGTAATATATATAATCTAATCTAATCTAATCTAATCTAATCAGAGAGAATGCCAATCAAAACGGATATTTTGCCGAACTAAACTGGAAAAAAAAAAAAAAAAAATCAGAGTTAAAATATGGTAATGTAATCAGCAGCAGATTGCGGCAATCTGATGATAACATCATATTTTATTAATTTTATTAATTTTTTTCCGGTCATCGGGCGTGAGGTTCCACGTGCCTAGAATCTTTGAATCTGGACCGTAGATTGTCCGGATCAACGGCTAGCGGAAAGAAAAGAAGAAAAAAAGATACAGAGATACTAGGTAGTATGTATGAACCGTATTTGGGCCCTGAGCTTTTGCCTCAGCACGCAGCAGCTACCTGCGTGATTCTTATCTGTCGCATGCCAGTCGCACACGCCAGTCGCGCATGCCGGTCGCACACGACGCCAGTCCTACACACACGCCGGTCACATGCAATCATCATTTGATTGAACTCATGTCCGCTACCATTATACCTCATTGCATCTCCTCGTAATTTAAATAACTAAATAAATGAAGTAATATTAATTTACTATTTATATTAATTTATTATTTTGTTAAATCGCCGAGCGTCATTGGAACCCAAATAATTCGGTCGGTCCGAACTCTTCCTGCTGTCGTTCGCTCGCTCGGTCGGTATCCGTACGACAAAGTCTGGGCGACAGACACGGAATGTCACACGGCTGTCTCGTTTGGTATTTTCGCGACATGTCACCCCCCTTTATTATGGTATTGGTGCGACATGTCACCCCCCTTTATTATGGTATTTGTGCGACCTGTCATCGACCTCTTTATTGTATTTGTTACGACCTCTCATCGCCCTTGTGCGACAAAGATTATATCACGTATTTGTTGTTCCTCAACGTTTAACGGCCAACCCCAAAGGACGGAACGGAATCCAACGGTCCGTTTGCACCCCCACCCGCCAAACGGATAAGGAGGAACA